CATTGGCTTTAGTGGTTGGTGCCTAAATTTGAATAATAGTGGTATTAACTGGGCTTCCCTGTAGGCGCATTGATATTATCCTATCACAGACAGCGTTGTACCTCATGACTGATCTGGATATGTTCTTTTTGACAATGAATGCAACACCATTCCTCTTCAATTTGTCATTCCTAGCATAGTTATCAGATTCAAAATAGCCAGTACCAGCCCATTTAAGCTCACTAATGCCTAAGATATCAATGTTTATGAGTTCCATTTCATTTTTGACAACTTCCAATTTTCCCAGATTCATACTTCGTACATTCCATGTTCCGATTTTCAATGGATGTTTACAGCTGTTTCTCTTCATTTTAAGTTGTGGCCCATCAGTAAATGAAGGTCTTGTGGGCTTTTTTTCCCGCTAGTTTTATACTCCATTCATTTTACCATAGTCAACTCTGCTTTGAGGAGGCAGATCTTCCCCCGTCGCATTTTGAGTACCTTCCAACCTGAGGGGTTCATTTCTGGCACTATATCTGACAGTGTTTTTGTTTGCTATTCATAAGGTTTTCAGTGACTAAAGATTCGGAAGTAATTCATCACTCTTTCTTCCTAGTTTATCTTTGTCTGTAAGCTTGTCTGAAACCTGTCTACCATGGGTGACCCTGTTGGTATTTAAATTACTGGTGGCATAGCTTTCAGAATCACAGCAACTCACAAACCACCACAGTAAAACAAACTGACAGACAAGTGGTGGCCATTTGGTTTTAAGTGGAAGCTGTCACTTTAAATTTAGAGGAGACCTATGTACATGCGTAGTAGAATCCTCCAGGGGGTGGGTGGGGTGTCCCTTCATCAGGCATCCCCTTTAGTCACCAGAATGGAGGTGTGCAGACAGTGAGAGACCAATGAATAGATACCAAAAAAGAATGTCCACACCTGTATCTGCAGTTCTGTCAGGCATTCTTGGCTGTTTTGATCCTTCCCCTACTTGGTCTCTCCCAAGATGGCGGCTCCAGGAGTAGCTTAGCATCTTGAATTATAAAGCAATGGATTTCTTGATTCTGCTACAAACTCCCCTAGCTGTAAGCCTTCCAATCTTCTAAATATTCCTTTATATGTGGTTTGGAGTTCTAGCATCATCCCTTGAGCCTGCTTGGTCCAGTATTCTGTGTTGTTGGTGACAAGAGCTCCTTACTGCTTGTCTACCCGATCCACCATCTTTAACACTTACTCAGTCATATGTCATATGCCAAAGGCCAAATGCTCAAGTGACAGAAATGGTAACTGGGTATCTTGAATACAGAGAGCTTGCAAGTTCACCCTTTAGTCTGTACTTGATTACTGTTGTTGTTAAGTGCTATTTGAGTCGGTTCCAACCCATAGCAACCCTGTATAGAGTTTCTGATGAGTGGCTGGTGAGTTTGAACCACTGACCTTGAGGTTCAAACCAATGTTGCAGTCTAGCACATTAATTAATAAGTGCCACACCAGGACCCTAGCTATGCTAAAAGAAGTGTTAGGAATTGCCCAGAAGAATAGGCTTTATATAAACCAGTAGCTTACGTAGAAAACCTAAGACCCATACAGAACTGCAAAAGGAATGTGTGGTTTATATCTGAAAGACCTGTAGAAAAAACAAAAATGACTGGCATTTTGAACCATGAGCAAGCAGTCTGCTGTTGGATGCATCAAGGCACGAAAAGTCTCTGCCCATCAGGAAAAAAAAAAACAACAACAAAAAACAAACCCTGCCGTGGAGTCGGTTCCGACTCATAACGACCATGTACAGGGTATCCAAGGCTGTAAATCTTTTCGGGAGGAGAAAACCTTATCTTTCTCCCACGGAATAGCTGGTAGTTTCGAACTGTTGACCCTGAGGTTAGCAGCCCGATTCGTAACCACTATGCCCCTTAGGACAAAGTTAGAGAGCTGGCAAACAGACAGCCTGGTACATTCGCTGGTAACCACCTGGGTCCACTTGATGAATGGAAGTGGGGATTTGCGGCAATGAAGAGACATGTTCAAAGAGAAGAGGAATGGTTGGTTGGTCGGATCTTTAGAGAGTTGTGTGGAGAGAGTGAAGGGGCCAGCTAGTCTGAAGTGCACAGAGGCAAGTGTGGACTCCCAAACTTATAGCTGGTACCCATTTGACCTACCTAGGATGGTTAGGCTTGAATTGACCAGAACCTGACCAAATGAAGAGAAAGATGTGACACTGTAGTTGTACTGTTAAGTGATGTCGAGCTAGTTCCGACTCACAGTGACCCTGTATAGGGTTTCCAAGGAGTGGCTGGTGGGTTTGAACTTGAACTTGTGGTCACCAGTGCTTATCTTACAATGCATCACACAGGACTGTGTGTGACATTGTTTTTTTTTGATGTTAAGTGCCGTCGAATTGGTTCCGACCCATAGCACCCTATGTATGTAAGACATTGTGCTGTTGTTAAGTGCTACTGAACCATTTTCAACTTACAGCGATCCTATATAGGGTTTCTGAGGAGCAGCTGGTGAGTTTGAACTGCTGACATTGCAGTTCAAATTGACCTTGTGGTCCAGTGCTTATCCTACAGTGCTATAACAGGACTCCTGTGTGACACTGTTGTTGTTATGTGCTGTGGAGTCAGTTCTGAATCATAGCGACCCTGTACAGGTTTCCGAGGCTGTAAATCTTTACAGGAGCAGAAAGCCTCTGCTGACCGTGAGATTAGCAGCCTGATTCGTAACCACTACGCTACCAGAGCTCCTTGTGTGACATTGTAGGCTGGTATAAATTGCTGCAGTTTTTATGGCTTGTTCTAGATTGGACTTTCTTATGAATGCAGATGGCCAAAGTTCCAACAGGAATAGAAGATTCTTCACACCAAGGAACATGCTTGTCTCCTGAGAATATTGGATTGAATGGTACAGTTGAGTTGATTCTGACTCATAGGGTTTCCAAGGAGCAGCTAGTGGGTTTGAACTTTCAACCCTGTGGTTCACAAGTCCTGTGCGGATCCTACAGCACCAAACCAGAGTTTAGAAATTGGCTATCTAAAATGGGGGAGATAAAGGCAGTAAGTGGCTGCCTTACATTCATGAGCATGCTCAGTTAAAATGATTGATTGTTGCTAAGTGCTGTCAAGTTGGTTCCAAAGTTAATCCTGCATGTATGAAAGGGACAATGGCTAGAAGAGCCTGGAGAAGGCCTGTCAGGTAGTGATTTATTTAGTTTATCTCTTCTATCCCTGACGCCCTGGTGTGGTACTCAACCACAAGGTCAGTTTGAACCCCAAGGTTGGTGGTTCAAACTCTCCAGCTGCTCCCCGGAAACCCTATACAGAGGCCCTATGGGTTGGAACTGACTGGATGACACTTAACAATAACAACAACAACTGTTATCCCTTGTCTTTGCAACACCCACAAAATGACTCTCTCCCTGATGGATACGCAGGAGAAGGTGAGAGAAGATAGGATGACATGATTTAGCTATAAATAAATGACTGTTAACAGTTCATTGTGATGGTAAAAACATGGAACTCTAACAAGGTATAAAATGAGCCATCTCAGAAGCAGGAGGGGAGTAGAGCATGTCGTTTGGACCCAAAGATCCCTGTGCACTGAACCTCCTCAACCCAGGGACAGAAAGCTGTGATAATGGAGCAGTGGCAGAGGAGCAGCAGCAAAGCCAAGAGCCATAGTATAAGACAGAGCAGTGGCCTTCCCAGTCCATGGGGCAGGTAAAGTTGAGTGACTTTGAACAGGAGGTTTGTTTGTAAAATAGAGTGCCATGAGGCACTTATTGGAGGAGCTAGGTTTGATGACCCATGGTGCTAGAGCCAGTACCTTCAGGGTGAGGCTTACAGTGGAGTTATGTGCCTTGTGAGCATTTTTCAGCAGCCCTAAAAAAGCTTTGTAATCTTGGATGGGCAGAGATAGCTCTGCTTATGGACACGGCTGAGAGCTGTCCTCACTGGAAGAACTGTGGTCATAGCCATGAATGATCAAACCCAGCTGAGGATTAGAATGTTGTTAGAGGTATGGGTGTGTCTTTTTTTTTTTTTTTTTTTGCAACATGTGAGAAGAAAATTGAGGCTTAAAGGGACTAGAAAATGACTTAATTATTAAATGGACTAGATAATGCCTTAATTATTAAGTAGTGGGAGTGCAGTGGCTTTGTAGGATTAAGTATTGAACTGCTAACCATAAGGCTGGTGGTTTGAGCCCACCGGCTCCAAGGGAGAAAGATGAGGCTATCTGCTCCTGCAAAGATTTACAGCTTTGGAAATCCTGTACAGGGTCACTATGAGTTGGAACCAACTCGACAGTACTTAACAAGTAGACGTTGGATTGATGAACCACGTTTGGCTTTTTAAATTCATGCTTTTTTTTTTTTTTGCTTCTCCATATTGTCTCTAACTTTTTGAGGACCACTTTCTCCATCTGTTCCTTCCAAGGACATCTAGACACTGGAGTATCCACTATGATCCAGTTACCAGGTTGGGCACCAAGGACATATGTCTAAGTCTTTACCCTTGAGAAGTTCCAAGTACCATTCCCTTCTTCTTGGTACTGGTTGCTCTCCCATTTTTACCTGTTTTTGGTGACTCTCCTCCAGTACACTCAGGTAGCTTTTTTTATGTGGGAATTTGAAGATCCAAAAACTATGTTGCCTCAGTGCCACCTTCCTAGAATTTTCTGCTAAGTAACAATATAATACTGTTATTTAGAATCTTAACTGAGACCACTTATTCTCCTAAAGGACAATAATACTTGCAATGAATCTGATTGGTAGGGATTGGTGGTGGTAGTGGTGGTGTGCCGTGGAGTTGGTTCTGACCCATAGTGACCCTGTACAGCATTTCAGAGGCTGTAAATCTTTACTAGAGCAGAAAGCCTCATCTTTCTCCTGCAGAACAGCTGGCAGTTTCGAACTGCTGACCTTGAGGTTAGCAGCCCAACTCGTAACCACTATGCTACCAGAGCTTCGCTAGGGAGTAGGAGACCAAAAGTAAAACTACTTCCCTACCACCAATTCATACCTGATGTGGTCTTGGCTATTCCCTGATCAGGTAATGCGCTGTGTTTCCGATGCTGTTCATACCAGTCATTCACTGTCATAGTTGCTAGGCTTGGATAGCCAGCTCCAAATACCCTGTAAAAATCACACTGCAGTTGGAAAACTAAACACAAATAGCACTATTAAAATGCCTCTTCTCTTTAGTGACAAAATCTGAATCTGGTTTAACTTCATTTCCCTACCCAGCTATCTCTTAAAGAGTTGTAAAAACTTCTGTAGGATATATGATAAAAGTGGCATCCAGAAATAAGCATTAGAGCCAAGAGGTTTAATAAAAAACAAACAAACAAAAAAACCAGCCCAGGATCATCTCCCAATAAGCAATCCCAAAGGTCAATAACCACAGAGCAGTACTGACAATGTAGAAGGGGTATTTATGATTGCAGGGTCTGAAAGGTATAATAGAGAGGGAAGGAGATCCTTCTGACTAACCCTAGGAAAAAGAATCTGAAGAGCTCAGAATTAAATACTAGACAGGCAACAAGTCCTTTGAGAATTGTAGCTAAATGCAGGAAGCATGGCAATAATGAAGAGGACAAGTTTAAGTATACATTTCCCCATTAGATTTTTTCTTTCTGTTATTAATTTTGTTTTTTTTTGAGCTTATTTTTAAACTTGAGTTTTAAAGGCAACCAACTTTCAAGTACTACCTACTTGGCTTGGGCCATGTCTCGAGTGAGAATAAAGGGTTTCAGTGGTGGCTTGTCCTGACGAGATGTGTGAGAAGTTGATGCCTGAAAAAAAAAATTAAAATGGTGAGAACGGCATTTGGCATTTGGCCCATCCTACTATGGAGGTTCTTAATTTCAATTTCACTTGTTCCCTATAGTTGCAGAATACTAATGGAATCATGGTATGGCACTGTAGGATAAGCACTGGACTGCAAGGTTGGTTTGAACCTCAAGGTCAGTGGTTCAAACTCACCAGCCACTCCTCAGTAATACTACACAGGGTCAACAGCACTTAACAACAGTAGATGGAGGTTGCCTAACTCTCCCTTGCTAAAAGGGAGGAAGAAGAAATTCTTACAGCAGCTATCTCTCAGGTAAAAATTTACTTGGATTTAAAACATCCCCCAATAAGGAGATTTTGACATCTAAATCCCTTGAGCTGAATTTGAAACCCCGTTCTCTTAAGCCTGGTTTCAGTGGAAACAGTAAATGATTACAGTAAATTACTTCCAAAGTCCCTTTCAACATATCTGCCAAGAACTCCTAGGATGTTTTGAAAGTAGATAAGTGAAGGAGAAAGGATAGGTTAGTAGTTTTCATATAAAGGTGTAAAGAAAAGTTTCAGGAACACTGGCTTTCTAGGGGCATACTGAAACAACCTATGGTCATAGGAACTTTTTTGTTTTTTGTTACTTGGTTCCAGCTCATCACTTTCATAGCCAATCCCAATACCACATGAAAGAACATTGTGTTTTTGTTGTTAAGTGCTGTTGCATCAGCTCCAACTCATAATGACCCTGTATAGGGTTTCCAAGGAGCGGCTGGTGGATTTGAACCACCACCTTGCAGTTCAAATCAACCTTGCGGTCTAGTGCTTATTTTACAGCACCAGAGCATTTAAGAAAAATAAAGGGGTCACTTAGGATCCAGAAGATTCCAGTCACAAGGACCTTTACAGTATTCGAATACTAATTCTTCATTCTTTGATCCTTTAGCAAGGAGAAAATAGGTTGAGTAAGAGCTCCGGGGCTAATTTGATTGTTGTTGTTAAGTGCTGTCAAGTCAATTCTGACCCATAGCGAACCTGCACAGGGTTTCTGAGGCTGAAAATCTTTACGAGAGCAGAAAGCCTCATCTTTCTCCCACGGAACCGCTGGTAGTTTCGAACTGCTGACCTTGAGATTAGAAGCCCAATTCGTAACCATTACACTGCCAAAGATAGATGTTTCTCTGAGGACTTAAATAAATGCCTGTGACCAGCTGATAAATTCATCTTAATTTATGATGCATTCTGAATCAAAGAGAAGTGGTAGTAGAGCCTAGTCTTCTGAAGCAGCAGCTCCAAAGCAGGATGATGATATTCAAAGAAAAACAAAATTATGTTATGTCAGCCTTTCTTTACCAGTATACCTGACATCATTTTGTGCATGGAGATGTCCTTGCTGTGTCTCATACTTGGGTGATCTGAAAGTGTGTGAGTACATCACTGTGTGAAGTTAAATCTTGATTTCTCCCCCTTCCCCAACTTAAACATATCCCGTCCTTTTTTTTTTTTTAAATCTTCATGCTTGTCTTTTCTAGCTCTCCTCCAGTTTCACTTTTCATGCCCTTTCCTAGCCTATTTCTCATTCCCTTTGTTTATAATAGTCAACCACAAGTCACAACTTCCCAGAGAAGTCTCTCTTTCTCATGGCATGTCACAAAATAGAAATGACTAGAAATGCATTACAGATTACAAAAGGACTGGTAAATAATACTGTAAGTTAAAGAGAAAACTATCCTACTGAACCTTCAGCCTTCCTCCATTAATCTAAGAAAAATAGTTTTATGGAATTGTATAGGAATTTTAATTTGATTACTCTCTTGTAGAATATTCAATCTTTTTGAATTATATAGACAATAATGAGGCTTACCTCTTTTGAGGAGTCTTTTTCTCTCAGAATCTTTATCTCTTGATCAATGCTGTCAATTTCTTCCAAACTGATACCAATCCACCTTCGAAGGTGAAGGAGGTAATATTCACGAATACACTCATCATCTGCTTGACCACTTTCCACAGCAGACTTCAGTGCAGACAATCTATGCTCCATCTCCTTCTTCTGCTTGTATCTGTTCCACAGAAAAGTATTACTCGTGTACTTAAAAATAAAGTGGCATTCGATCAAAAGACGGTAATAATAAGGTTTTACCTTTTCAAATTGCTAGCTAATAAGTACGCTGATGTCCACCTTGGCAGGAATACACCCCCAGAGTTTGCCACCAGGCAAGAAGAGGATCAGCAGAGGCTGATAAATACATTCTAAAGCCAGAAAAATAACAAGTAGCCTTGTCTGACCCAACTTCCGCCATTCTCTTTAAGGATGGGAGTGTTTAGTTTACACATCAACGCTTACTGGTGGTGGTGGTGGTGGTGGTTATGTGTCATGAAGTCAGCTCCGACTCATAGTGACCCTGTACAAGGTTTCCGAGGCTGTAAATCTTTACGGGAGCAGAAAGCTTCATCTTTCTCCCACGGAACAGCTCGTAGTTTTGAACTGCTGACCCTGAGGTTAGCAGCCCAATTCGTAACCACTATGCTACCAGAGCTCCTTAACCCTTACTAGGCTGGGTAATTAGTATCACAAGATGGTTCCCACATGCTTTCATTTGCTAATTACACTTTCAAAGAATCACAGAATCTTAGGGATCATTTACCTCCTATTGATACAGGAATTCCTTGTAAAACAGCTTAATAAATATTCATCTCTTCTTTTCTTCTGGAAAAAAAACAAAAACAAACATTCCCAGCTCTTCTGACTCATCCTTATATTTAAAGACTCACACCCACCCTGGATGGATTACCTGGGTGGCACAAATGGTTGTTAATCACTCAACTACTAACTGAAAAGTTGGCAGTTCAAATCCACACAGTGGTGTCTCAGAAGAAAGACTTGGCAATCTAATTCTGAAAGATCACAGCCATTGAAAACCCCATGGGACACAAGTTTACTCTGAAACACATGGGATTACCATGAGTCCTATGTATTTCCAAATGAAACTGAATGGCAACTGGTAGATTTAACTACCCTGGCTACCTTTTTAAGGATGTATTCTAGTCTGTCACCTGTAATCCACTCATTCAACCAACAATTATTTACCAAGTACATGCTGTGTGACAGGCACTAGTCTTAGTGCTGAAGAGACACAGCAGTGTATAAACTTAGTCCTTGCTCTCATGAAGCTTTCATTCTAGTGGGAGAAGATAGAAAAAAAGAAATAGATGAGTCATATGGTGGGTCATATGGTGGTTCATAGTATGAAGAAGCCCAAAAGCAACAAGTGAATAGAGTGATAGTATAGTAAGGGTGCTGTTACATAAAAGGTAGTAAGGAAAGCCGTTTTTGCAGGGGTTAACATTTGAGCAAAGACTTAAAGGAAATAAGGAAGTGAGCCAGGTAGATATCTGGTAGTAGTCTGAGAATAGGGAAAGCAAATATAAAGAACCTGGTATGGGAATAATGTTTTTGAGTAATAGCAAGGAGATCAATGTGGCTGGAATGGAGTGAGAAATGGATAGGAAATTAAGCCAGAGAGAAAGCTAGTGTTACAACTTGTGGAGATGGGAAGGCCACTGGAGGATTCTTGAACAGAGTATGTAATGTGACTCCTAAGGAGACATGAAAATACTTTTTATTATAAGGGTCATGCTAGTTGTTGTGTGGAGTGTTGACTGTGGAGGCTGGAGGCAAGGGTGAAAGCAGAGAAATCTATTAAAATCTAGGTGAGAGATGGTGACTTGAAATACAGAGGCAGTGATGGAGGTGGTCAGATGTGGATGTTATTTAAAGTATTGTTCAGACAGGATTAATTGGATGTCAGAGCTTGATAGAAAGTGAGGAGAGGAGTCAAGGATAAATACCAACATTTTTGAGCTCAGCAACTACCAGAATTGGGTTGCCATTTACTAAGTTGGAGGAAGAAAGGCTGGGCGGGGGTAGTGGGAGGAAGATTCAGAAACAAGAGTTTAGTGTTAAAATTTAAAGTCTCAGGGGTCTATCCAAGGGTCGATCTCAATTTTTTTGTGTTTAGGTACTGCTGAGGCAATTCGAACTCACAGCAACCCTATGTACAATAGAATGAAACACTACCCAGTTGTACATCATCCTCACAATTGTTGATTTCAAATAATCTATTGGATATAAAAATTTGGAGTTCAGTGAAGAAGCCAGGGCTGGAGATGGGACTACATAAGATCACCAAGGAAGTATAGAACAGAGAATTAAGAATTGACCCCTGTGTAAGCACCTAACAGTTGCTCCTCTGAAACCCTACAACAGGGCCATTATGAGACGAACCGACTTGACAGCAACTAACAACCACCACCACCACAAGCAGATAACCAAAGCAACACCCTAAGAGAGGGATCTGGAGCTGTAGGACTCAGGTGTTGGGGTAGCTGAAGTAAGAGTTCTTCAGGTATTTGCAGCAAATGGAAAATTATTGTATTCCTCAGGTGAGTCACTCTATTCCCAATGCAGTCTGCTAAATGTTTCTTATCCACAGAAGCATTTTGAATCACAAAGATACTGTGCTGTGTACATAAATTCATGAGGAAGATCCTGAACATCTAGCTCCCAAAAGATCTTCTTCAAAGACTGTACCCATCCCCAGTGCACAACAGTTCACAGTCATGTCTCTGTAACACAAATGATTTTCAGAAGGTCAACGATAAGTACCCAACCATTCAAAGAAATTGTTTAGGCTTTGGTACCACTTCTACCCTCACTCACTTTCCTGGATGTACCTAGTAACAGGAAAAATATATACTAGAGCCTTGTTGTTTGTTGTTAAGTGCTCACAGCAACCCGGTATAGGGCTTCTAAGGAGCAGATAGTGGGTTTGAATGGCTGACCTGGAGGTTAGCAATCAATGCTTATGCGACAGCACCATACCAGGATTCCTGAGTCTTAGGATGTATATAATCCAGGGTAAATTCTAGGTTAATCTAGGGGGTCCTCTGAATAAAGTCCATTTGCTTCTTTTTCCATTCTGGCGCTGCAGGATAATGCACTGAACCGCAAGGTCTGTTTAAACTGCAAGGTTGGCGGTTCAAACTCACCAGCCACTCCTTGGAAACCTCTTACAGGGTCACTATGAGTCGGAACCGACTAGACAGCACTTAACAACAACATAACATACATATGATCTAACTGCACACTCTAAATCGTCCCTTCTTTTCTACTTCCTTTGCTCTTTGTCGTCTTTGGGACTTTGGTTCCTAAACTCCTGTTTTGTTAGACCAACACTGTCTTTGTAGTTGAGCGCATTAACCCACAGTGCCACACCAGGACCCATAAAAATTACAGCCTAGGAAATTCTATGAGGCCGTTTTAGTCTATCATATAGGATTACTATGAATCAGAATTGACTCAACAGCACAAAACAGACCTTCAGCACTGTTCTCAACCCCTCATGGTGAACGATTACATGGAAACACTCCGTATCACCGTAGAATCCTGTTCCAATGACCTTTCTGACTCTGGGCAATGTTCACCACTCCCTTTTCATGTACTCAAGCTGCTGAAGAGCTAATGAATCACAAATTTGTGCCTTATGAATCAAATACAAATCTATGCTACCAAACTTCAGTTGAGCGGTCACTCTTACTCATCTATCCTTTTGTTAGTCTTGTGGACTATATGCTACCATCACCCTCACCAGATGACAAATCACTGCAGAATTCAATTCCATTCTTCAGCATGAAATCTCTATAGCTTCACTTTGCCACCTATACACGTGTATTTAAAGAGCTAATGCTGCTTTTACTAAGGCATTTCCAAGGCTAAGTCTTTACCATTTCACTTTGTTATCAAGCCAGTCCCCGACACATATTCTTCCAAGACTCACTCCTTCCTCTTATCCTAGAATACTTTTTCCCTCAACCCATTTTCTACCCTTTCAAATGACCACTCTTGTCTTTTCTATGCTACAGTGGAAACAGCACTAGAGTTGGGAATTTGGAGATCTTAATTTAAGCTCTACCCAGGTTACTAGCTATGTAACTTGGGCAAGTCAACTCTCGGAGCCCGTTTCTTATTTCTTAAATAGGGAAAAGAATGTCTGCTCCATGGGTTAAGAGGATCAAATACAACAGTAAACATGAAAGTGCTCCGTAAGTGGTAATAATATATCACTGTGAGTGGATGAGGAAATAAAGGCTCAGGGGGCTAGATGATGCCTCATTTATTTAGTAGGCGAGTCCTGGTGTGGCGCTGTGGGTTAATGTGCTGGAATGCAAAGTCGTTTGAACCATAAGGTCGGTGATTCAAGCACCAGTCACTCCTTGGAAACCCTATACAGGGTCGCTATGGGTTGGAACCGACTCGATGGCACTTAACAACAACAACAACAGAGACTGGACTGGTCACCTCAGGTTTGGCTCCCATGTCCATGCTTTCTCTGGTATGCCATATTGCTTCCATCTTTCTGATGACCACTCTATTTTTCCCATCTGTCCCTTTCAAAGTATTTACTATGATCAAATTACTGTATGTTGGTTAGGTGTTCTTTCTGTCTGCTTCATAGTATCTAGTGCATTTATCCATCCTATCATTTTATGCTGAGATTTTGATCCTGTGCTTGTTTCCCTCACCAGACTATAAGCTCCTCCAAGGTACAAAAGACCTATACTCATAAAACATCCATAGTCATACAACTATATCCATACAGTGTTATCCCCAATCACTAGCATAGTTCCTAAACACTATGGCACTCAGTAAATGTTTTAAAACTAAACTGATTGTAAGCAACATGTTCAAGGTCACATGAGGAAGCCCTGCCAGAACTAAGATCAGACTGTAGTATTACACACCTGGATTCAGTGCACTGTTAGAACAGAAGGCCTCAATCAATAACTAGACTGTAAGCAGATTCCAGCTAAGAGATATTGTGCTCTCAATGTACCATAAGACTATGATGTGTGCGATGCATAAAGGTTAGAAGATACTTGCTAAACTACATAGCTGATACAGGCAACCAAAAGGTAATATGGTCACCTCAACAAAGGCAGAGGCTTCTTAAAAATACTCAAAAAGTTTTGTTCTCACCCAAGTCTATGCTCAGTAAGAACCAAGAGAGTGTTTCTGTTCCCCCTCCCAAAGAACATGCAACCCCCCACCCCCAATGGCACTGCCACTGGGTATCCCTCAAAATTATAGTCATTGACCCACCTCTCTATTTTAGCCTGTCTTTGAGATGCCATAACGACAAGGCTAGGATAGGCCATGGAGGAGCTACCAGTGTTATTTTCAGCAGAGTTGTTCTTGGTTTTCGGTAGCTCAAAATCTGCCACATGATAGTAATGGCACTGAGTTAAGTAGTTTATAAAGTGTTCTCGAGCCCACTTCAAATGATCTAGACGCTTGCTGGAGTTGACTTGTTTCATGGCAAGGGCTCCTTGAAACACTGGCACCAACAGGTACTTCAGGTCAGTGGAAGCAATCTCTTCTAAATCTTCATTTCGGCTAGAAAGAGCAAAGAGGAGGCTGTGAAGCCTAGCTAGGGTTTCAAACTGGCCCTTGCTTCCTGGAGGAGAAGAGGGCTGGGGAGGAAGAGGAGCAAAAGGATGAGGCATGGGTAACAGAGATCAGTCTTTTTATTCATTTTTTTCAATGAAACTGACTAAGTGTTCACATCCAATACTTATGCTATCATCCCAACACTAGGGAGCAGAATCATGTGATATTAACTATTTCGGAAAAAAGGTGGAGAATGTAAACAATGCACACAACGTTGCAATGGGAGACAGAGATGAAAAATTTCTCTTCCACCCAGCTCAATGGCTCCTCCCTTAGTAACCATTATTACCTTCGTTCTCAGCCGTTACTACCCTCTCCCCCATACCTGAACAAGTCGAGCTGCGATAACATTTCCGCAACCTTCTCAAGGAGGTCCAGTCCCTTGAACACCTTTTCCTGGACCGTCCGGGAACCGGTGGGTTCAGTGGCTACTTCCACTTCATCTAGAAACTGCTTGCAGGTTTCAAACAGCTCGGGGAGCCTTGGCAGCAGCAATTCGTCTTCTACAGTTGCCATCTTGGGGGAGGGAGGAACCCGGAAGGCCTCACTTCCGGGGTCAAATTAACAATGGTAAAGAACTGAGAGTAACGAAATGAAACCGGAAGGGGCGTTGTACTTATCCAGCCAGTTCTTCGTTAGTAACGCATCAAAAAAAGAACAAAAACAGACTTCCGGAAGTTGATTTCAGCCAGCCCTGGAGACCGTTTTCATGGATTAATTTTACTAGGTACAAAAACCGAAAATTAAGCCCACGGCCATTGAGTCGATTGTAAACAACTGTTACAAGTAAAACCCTAGGCACTGTGTTACAATGTATTTATCTTCGCTGACACTGGGCTTGGATGTTTCTGGGTCTGAGGTCCAGCTTGTGGCTAGATTGGAAAGAGAGCGCGCCAACTAGCGCGAGCGAGTTTTAGGAACCAGTCAGGCACGCGCTTTACTCCACAAGTCTTTTCCCTAGATTGAGTATCCTGGCCAGCTAGGTGCGCCAGCGTCAGCTGATAGCGTCGGCGCCGCTAGCCGTAGTATACGTACTACGTTTTGGACGCGTGAGAATGTAATGGAAGTAGCGCCCCCCTCAGGCTTCCGCCCACACACCATATAAAGCTCCAGGTTCCTCACTATCTGTCTACCCTTGCCCACCCTTCTCCCCTTCAAGCCCCCGACCCCCACCCCACCCGCTACACACAACACACAGCAGCGTGTTTTCAGCCTGGTGCCCTGGGAGTCTGTCTTTTGTAGAAATAATTTGGTAACCTGTAAATCTGGCCACCCCAAAGATTGCGTCCTTTTTTACCACTAACTTCCCAGGTCAAACGTTACTTCCTCTGTGAACTGTCTTTGACGCGTCACCCCCACACGTACGCGCGCACTCACACGCCCGGGCCCTCCCTCTTACCTCTCACCGCACATTTTCGTAGGACCTGCCACATTGTTCGGAGTCCTGGTGTGGCCCTGTGGGTTAATGCGTTAGACTGCAAAGTCTTTTGAACTGCAAGGTCAGCGGTTCAAGCTCACCAGCTGCTCTTCGGAAACCCTATACAGGGTCGCTATGGGTCGGGACCGACTTGATGGCACTTAACAACAACAACCACATTGTATTATAGCTAGATTTGTATTGAATTACTAATCTGTCTCCCTTACCAATATGAATTATATTCGTTTTTTAATCTCTCTGGCTAGCCCAGTGTCTGGTCCTTATTAGGTACTCTATGCCATTATATGATTAGGAAATTAAATGATCAGTTTGGAAAGCAGTCCAATTATGCAGAACTGCACTGCTCAAGATAGTAGTTACTAGCCACATGTGACTTCTGAGCATTTGAATGTGGATGTTTTGAATTGATGTGTGTTGTAAGTGCAACATACACATGGGATTTCAAAAACTTATAAAGAAAATATAAAATATTTCAATAGATTTTTGTATTGACTACCTGTTGAAATCAATACATATATTACTAAAATTAGCTACACTTGTTTTATTTGTTTTTACTTAATGTGCTGACTAGAAAATTGAAAATTTACATAGATGGCCCACATTTGTGGCTTGCATTATATTTCTACTATACAACAGCTAAAATACAATTCCAGGACTTTGAAAAGAAGGTACATCATTGCTCTGAACAAATCAATATAAATATTTACTAATTACCTTAGAATATACCCCATGTTGTACTAGGTGACTTACATACAAGACAAATTGCCTTCCCCTGAAAATAAACGTTTAAATTAAATATATTTTAAATTAGAATTGAGAAGAAAAAAATCTTTTCATATTAGAAACAACTAGAGGCAATATAAGACAGCATATAATTAGGTTGTTGTATTTATTTTAGCCGACTCCACGGTACATAACAACAACTTATTGTATGGGCTGTTGTACTTACTGTATAGGCTGTAGGAAAACAAAGAAGAGAGAAGTTATATTAGGAGTACTTCAGAAAGCTTCTTAAACGTGACATGCATAGAATCTGAAAGCTGGAAAGGAACCTCAGATCAGAGGGAAAACCTGAGGCAGGAAAGGTTCAGTGATTTGCTCAACCAGTTTGTGATAAAGCCAGTGTTTTGAGTTTAATCATTTCTACTCCATCAACCTTATGGTGGTGGTTATGTGCGGAGGAGTCGGATCCGACTCATAGCGACCCTGTACAGGGTTTCTGAGGCTATGAATCTTTACGGAGGCAGAAAGCCTCATCTTTCTCCCACGGAACTACTGGTAGTTTAGAACTGCTGACCCTGAGGTTAGCAGCCCGATTTGTAACCACTATGGTGCAGCTACCAGAGCTCCTTTATGCTGAGTAGGATTTAGAAAGGTGGAAAACACATATGGAACTGAATGCAGCCCCCAGGGAAAACGATACTTTTCCAGTTGTTGGGTGCCATCAAGTCGATTCTGACTCATTGCGACCCTGGGTTTCTGAGTGTTTGGTGGGTTACCAATCCAGTGCTTATCCTACATCCCCATACCAGAGAGCCCCCACCCCCACCCAGTGCCTTAGAGCCTGAATTATAAAGGCAGTGATCTGACTACATCATCTTCTAGCTTTAACATTAAATGCTACTTTGAGTTCCTGATACACTTCTGACACAATTTTGACATCAACATCAATGTGAGAATTTCTGGGAGAGCAGAAAGGGTTATCTTGCACTCGGGAAAGGTAAAAACTTCACAGGTGGTCTGAAAAAGAGCGTAAGTATCTCAGCTAAGGCAGCTCCTACTCTAGGCAAAGACAAGCAGATGAAGGTCAGTTATTCCTTCTTTCCTTTTTCCTAGTCAGTTGGGCCCCTCACCTGTTGTTTCTGCAACATTGTGTCTTTGATCTATTGAAAAACAATCATGAAGGTTCAATGATTTTAGCATATGGATGGAGTCCTGGTGTGGCACTGTGGGTTAATGCACCAGACTGCAAAGCCATTTGAACTGCAAGGTCAGGGGTTCAACCCTATACAGGGTCACTATGGGTTGGAACCAACTCGAGGAACCAACTCGACAACACTTCACAACAACAACACAGAGTCCTGGTGTGGCACTGTATGATAAATTGTTGTTACAATTGTTGCCTTTATGTAGCACTCATAGTTCCAACTCATGGTGCCCCTATAAAAGGTAAGAAGCAACTGGTGGGTTTGAACCCCCAATATTATGTTTCACAGTCCAGTGGTGATTCTACAGTGCCATACCAGGAATATATATATTGTTGTTGTTAAGTGCTGTCAAGTCGATTCTGACTCATAGCAACCCTTCATAGGGTTTCTGAGCAGCTGCTGGTGAACTTGAACCACTGATCTTGCCATTCAAACTGACCTTGTGGCCCAGTGTTTATCCACATATGTATGGAGTCCTGGTGTGGCACTGTGGATTAATGCACTGCGGACTGTAATGTTGCTTTGAACAGCAAGGTTGGCAGTTCAAGCTCACCAGCCGCTCCTCAGAAACTCTATACAGGGTCGCTATGGGTTGGAACCAACTCAAAGGCACAGAACAATAACAACAACATACACACACACACACATATAGTTGTTAAGTGCCATCAAGTCTGTTCCGATTCATAGCGACCATGTATAGATTTCCAAGGAATAGTTGGTCAGTTTGAGCCACAGACCTTGTTTTTTGTGATTCAAACTTTTTGGAAGACACTGGAATTGTGAGACTTTGCATTTGCTTGGATTAAGACATATCTTTACTGTTGCCTAAAAGGAAAAAAAAAAAGGACTTTTGAGTTTGGCCCTGGACTTTGTAAGCCATTTTCTGTAGCTTTCAAAATGACAATCTTTAAGAAGTTGTCAGTTACTTTCAGAGTGCATATTACAAATTTGAATTGTCATTTTAAGTATTACATTGCTTCTTATTTTGAGACAATACCAATGTGGTGGTTATATCTGAATAGGATGGCTCCAGATCTAAATAAAAATTCCACTTTAAATTAAGATTTTCATTTCTCCTTTTCTAAAGAAAGTCATTCAGCCTTTTTTTCCTTGTCAAAGTACTACTGTTCAAATAACAAAGAATGCAAAAATCAGTATCTTTAACCTAGTTTAGTGTTTGTTTACCTTTCTGTTTTAATTGCTACTTGAAGTTGAGCAATTGTCACTACCCATTAACCTTTGATATACCAAAGCTAAACTGTATTTCAGCTTGGAGTAGATTCAACCTTTTCATCTTAACTAAATTAATCATTTCCATTTCAAGGAGTTCAACTAGAATTGACCTGATCTGGTGTGTCACTGTAGGATTTTAGCATATCGATGGAGTCCTGGTGTGGCGCTGTGGGTTAATGCGCCACACTGCAAAGCCATTTAAACTGCAAGGTCCGCGGCTCAAGCTCACCAGCTGCTCCTTGGAAACCCTATACAGGGTTGCTATGGGTCAGAATCGATTTGACAGCACTAAACAACAACAAGTAACCATGAGGCCAGTGGTTCAAACCCACAAGTCACCTCTTGGAAACCCTATACAAGGTTGCTATGAGTTGGAACCCACTCAATGGCACTTAAAAAAAAAAAATTCCCTCAAGGAGCCACAATGCTCATTGGAAGCTAGGATGGTGAGATTTCTTCTCTCATACTTCAAACATGTTATGGGAAGTAATTTGATAGCACTTCACAACAATCACAAAATACATTCTGTCACTAGACCCACATTTCAAAATGCTTACATACTGTACCTTAGAAATGCCAGTGTAGTCAATTTATATCAGGAGATAAGAAATTAGCATTTTGCTAAGAATTGTGGTTGAAAAGGTTTGTGAGTTGACTATTCCTAGTAAATTTTCCTCTTTTCTCTTACACTTCTCTCTTTGATGTGAGACCACCTCCCACTATTTACTTTACCAAATTAAAACTGACTGCTTCTCCTAAGAGGCAGGGTACTTTTGCATATTCTCTTAAGGTACCCTGGTACTCCATTTTATGAAATATAATTATTCCTTCAATAAAATCTTTTGTTTCAATTTCTAACAGTGTTAGCCTAGTGTTTCCATAAGGGCACCAAGATTTTTTAAGCATACTTAAAAATA